TAAGTTTAGCGAGGGTAGCCACATATCAGCTACCTTGAGTATATTGTCTAGCGTGCGTCTCTCGTTGTTTCGTATCGTGACCATTAATCCTAAACAATTCAGTTCCTTCTGACCCTCTCCGTGATCTGATTCGATCATTTTCCGCGATTTGTGCAATCTGTACTACCTCAACCCGACACCAAACTGTTTGATCACCGGTTCATAATGTGTGTGTGATGCTCTTGTTGTCATTTAATGTCCAGCCTGCAATCCTGCACAGTCGAAGTTCTCTTGGGCGTACTAAAGACTCGCGATTGTGGACAAGGCGCCTTCTAGTCCCAGTTGACTGGAGGCAACCATAACATCCCTTGTTGCAACTAAACTTTTCGATCGATCAACCTTAATAGTAGATCAGTTTTACGGACCCGCTTAGAAAATAGTACCGGTATCTTAGGCCAGTCAAAGGTTGATATAATGTCGCCATCGCACAATCGTTTTCCATTCCCAGTTGGTGTATCGCTCCTCAGTGATGATTATCTGCCGATGATTAAACAGCGTCAGGTTCGGAACCTATCCTCCTCCTGTGCGGGTCCGACAGTCACTCAATCGATCGGTCGAATCTTTCAGCTGTAACAGGGGACGGGATGCTTGCCCAGCTGAACAGAGCTAGAACCCTCACCTTGACCATAACCTTGAATCTTTAGCAGGCCCAAGTGAACTTCGACTGTGCGCAAGTTCAAGAGTGTCATTATCACACGGTTTGAATACAGGTGATAATACCAGTATGCCAAACATTACAAACCGGTGATCAGACGGTTTCGTGTCACGTCTAAGGACTGTAAATTTTCTTCATTTACTTATTTTTTTGCTATCTTTTCCTATTTATTGAAATGTACAGTCAACATTCAGGAAAGGGGGAACGTGGCCATACAAAGACTGCCTGGGGCATTAGATAAATGGGGGTAGAGGAGCAGCAGTGGTGGAGCGGTTCGAACCCGGGACTCCCAGGTCACAGGTTAATGACCTAACCACTTGGAGACCACCGCCCACAATGACCCCATTAGATCACGGAGGGCTTAGAGGGTATTCAACTGTTGGAGGTCACGGGCGGGATGGGACAGGGTAATGTGAAGCGGTGCAGAAGTCGCGGTGTACTGTACAGTTTCCGTTCCGTGTCCACAGAACACAGAACACACGGAAATATTGCGGATCCTTTTCTGATGCTCCAATCCTCGGTTTCTCCCAAGTGCTCATCGCAAACGAAACTTTTGTCTGGTACGCTGGGGGGAGGGCGGCCTGTCATCACAATCAGTGGCTAAGTTTTGTGCAACACTTTCTTTCGTTTTGTTTCCCGGAGACGCTCAATTCATCATCATCATCGTCATACTCAACGACGAATCTTCATTGTCAGTGATTTATGTTTTTCCCTCTCCACGATATCTAGTTTTCAGTCTGGCTCGTTCACCTCACCCATTAGTAGACGCTCGCGGCTCAGACGTGAGGTGACCATGGACGCGACATCTGGTAATCTGTTGCAGAGCAGAGAGTCAATGTCACATCCCCATCTAGGTCCTTATCCCCCCGAATCGTCGTCCCTCACTCAATCCTCTCCGTTCGCACTCATGCGGAATCAACAAGATGCTGCGGGACATCGGATATCCGATGGGCAGGATGTCGTACCATCGGAACTGTGCTTCTCCAGTGAACAGTTCCAAGGTGAGTTAAACCAGCCCAATGAGTCTAGTGAATCATCAGTCGCTGTTCAATTAGATATCTAGTGGATATCTACTGATGGAGAGATGCAACGTAGAAAAAAGAGATTTAACATGATAGTGCCTGTGTTCATTAGATTTAGGTGATAAAAAATCACGCAAATAATGAGGTGATTTTTAGGATTGAGCTTTCAAATTACCATTACAGCGGTAGGAAAAAGAAAGAGTAAGTCAGGAAATTACGATGAAATACAATTAGATAACATTATTGCTATGACAAACCAAGCTTTACAATAATAGAGTAGAAGAGAGTAGTGGCAGCTGATTATAAACAGTTCTTTGGATTGTTAAATAGAGATATATTGCATCTCCTTAAAACGTCCCACAGAACGCGATGCACATAGGACACCTAGTAGCCCACCAAGAAGATCGTCTAGATTGCTCAGCTTGTGGGTGGTGTGCGACGAGAGCTCAAGCGCCGGCACCAAATGTCCCAGAGAGCACGTAGACTAACTCGTGTCACTTCCACCGTGGCTAGAACACCTTTTCTTGTTAACCTACGATCCGTGTGGTG